GAACCCCTACCACCCACTCCACACACACACCCCCGCTTCTTGTCCCCTGACTGCCCCCTCCTGGGACAACCGCCCCAACCAGGACCCCACCCCCTATCCTACCCCCCCGCTCCCTGTCCCATGACTGCCCCGACCCCTATCTACACCCCCACACTTTGACAGGCCCACCGGGACTCCCACGCCTATCCAACCCCTCCCATCCCCTGACCGCCCCCCCAAACCTTCGCCCCATCCAACCGCCCCCTGCTCCCTGTCCCCCGACTGCCCCTGAAATTGAAAGAAATTAATCCATGCAGGTGTTTCAGGAGAATCTATTAAATACACATAAGTAGGATGAAAAGAAAAGGCCATGTTGTAACTAGAGCATGAGACGGGACGGCAGACTACCTGGTTGCTCATCTGATGAATAACAGTGGTTTGTGGTCTGACCGTAACCCAACATTTTCAAAAGGGCCTACTAATTTGGAGTTCCTCGGTATTTTTCAGTTCCTATCTTAATACAACTACAACTTGATTTTCAAAGATCCTGAGCACCCACCATGCCAAATGATGAAAATGAATGGTGCAGGTGCTCAGCATTTCAAAAAACTTTCAGACTGTTATAAACATTTTAAGTTTGACTGCTCTGGTAAGTAATTAGAACAACTGCACACTAGCCAATTGTCCCTACTGCAAACACTCAGACCAGAATATTGAAGATATTTATTTTCCCGTGTCATTCCTCCAAAAATGCCCTCCTGCTTCACTGTATTTCCTTGTTATTCAAAGCTGTGTCTCCATTTTATTTTGTCCCCAAAATCCCCATTTATTCACTTTCAAATGTTGGTGGATATTCAGTAAAATAGCCCACGAAAGCTTATGCTCTAATAAATTTGTTAGTCTCTAAGGTGCCACAAGTACTCCTGTTCTTTTTGAGGATACAGACTAACACGGCTGCTACTCTGAAACCAGTAAAATAGGGTATTTTGTTTTCCTTCCTGCCCTAAAAACCTGTTGTGCCGTTAAATGAGCCATCAAGTAGTGCACATCATCAGCCTATGGAACCTCATGATCTTATCATCTCTACCCCAGATTTACAATCACTTGTTGCAACTTGATTTAGATTGCAAGCACTCTTGGGGCAGGGACAATGTTAATTTATGTGTGTTGAGCACCTAGGACAATGGGGCTTGACTCTTGTCATCTTTACCCACCCTTCCAACTGAAAAATATAGATATAATTTGTATAGCTGCTTTCCTTTCCCCTCTACACCAGGTTGTTGGTTGTTGTTTTTTTTTAACCTGCACGATCTTCTTCTTTGATTGTGTTTTTCTGAGCATCTCCGTATCAATCACATTTTATTTTCTGATTAAATTCTTCCTCCCAGCTGAGTTGGCTCATAACAGTTTTGGGGCTTTGTGAAGTTTTCATTAAATAATTATTGTCTCTCCCCCCGTTAATTTCCCACAGCTGTGAAAAAATGAATAGATACAACTATTTTTTAAAAACGTTGAAAAACACCTCGATATTACCTGTGAACATTATTTCCCAAACCATATTACAAATCGAACTGTGCCAAGCCTCACCCACGCGCCTGCCTCGCCCCGTGGGGAGGGAGACGGGACACCCCGGCCTGGGGACTCCGGGGCCGTTGGGGAGAGCGGGGTGCTCTGAGGGGGCCCCGACGCTGCAGACACCCCAGCGCCTGCCCTCTGAGGGAAACTACATCTCCCAAGAAGACAGGCTACCCTTCCCAGAATACCTTGCGAGGAACTCCCGAAGTTCTTCCGATTACCTCAAGAGGACTACAACTCCCAGCAAGCGTCGCGGGGCAAAGCGGCATACCTCCCCCAGCATGCTTTGCGAGGGCTAAGGCCGAGAGCGGCGGTCTCCGCGCCCTGCCTGGGAGTGGACTATAGGTCCCAGCAGGCCTTGCGGGCCTGTGGCGTCGGCTTCCGGAGGCTGGGCCGCGCCGCGTCCGTAGGTGCCGTTGAGCTGCGGGGTGAGGAGGCGGCGAGCCGAGGCGGGTCTGGCCTGGCGGTGCCTCGGCGGCGGGGGCCCGGGGAGCGGCGAGCGGGGCTCCGGGCGGCGGAGGAAAAGGAGGGGACCTAGGCCGGGGAGCGCTCTGCGCCACCGCCGCCATGCTCAATATGTGGAAAGTCCGGGAGCTGGTGGACAAGGCGTGAGTATTATGGGGTGTCGGGGTCCGGGCCTGCGGCCGCGCGCTCACCCCCCACTAGGCCCTTCCTGCCCTCCAACATGGCCGCTGCCCCGCCCCCTGTTGAGCTGGCGGGCGCCCCCCCTCCCCCCGCCAAGCTGTCTCCTCGTGCTGCCCTCACGCCCCCTTCAGCTGACTCCCCCGTTATGGCTTCTGACCCCATACCTCGTGACTCCCTCTTCTACCTCACTATCCCCGTATGTCCCGTCTTAGCTGCTCCCCCCACCGCTATATCCCGTCATGGCTGGTGCCCCTTCACAGCCTCATCTGCTGCCCCCCCCCCCATCCATCCCGTCATGGCTGGTGCCCCTTCACAGCCTCATCTGCTGCCCCCCCC